CCCAGACTGACCAGCTCCTGGAGTCTCTCCTCACTGGAGATCTTTCCTCCCTGTGTACTACCTAAGGCTAATTCCTCTTTTTTATTTTCCCCCCCTTTTTTTTGCAAGTTTCAGACATGATATTTTTCTTTCCAGTCCACTTTTACCTTTCTAATTCTAACCATTTCTAATCCTCTCCATAATTTCAAATCCAGCATCTCTTCTGAACAACTTCATTGAAGCCACAAACCCAAATGTCCATTTAAATGACTGGAAGTTTAGGAGGTAATGAGTGTAAAATCATACATTATGTATGGTTTGTATTCATTACTTCTGTGGCAGGTTCAAATCCAGTCTGTGCATCTGATCTCAGTGTTTATTAATAGAAGATTTTAGTCCCTTCCTGTTGCCCAGGTGATTTCATTCTCTTACAAGATTGTTGGCTGTTTCTAAACAAAAGCTGTGATAAATCCCTAATATTGGAAAGGCAGGGAAAATTCAACGAACACTTCGCTTAATTAAAAAATTAAAATATTGAGTATTGCCCCCAAATGTTGAATATTAGCTGCATTTGGAGAGAAAGCGGGCCCTTCTTGTTAATATTTCAGAATCTAGAATAGCAGCAGTTGTAATATTTCTACTTTAACCCATCTGAAATCAGTGGATTGCAACAGGAATAGGAACAGTTGATTTCAAATCAAATTCCCACAATTTCCCCATCCCAGCTCCCTCAGCATGGACTGGGGTTCAGTGCTATTAAACCCAGTTCTGCATTTTGACATAGTAAACCAATTATTTTTCCTCTTAATTAATAGGCACTCAGGTCTGCAAATGCCATTAGCCTTTCCTGGCATAGGAGATAAAATTCAGGAAGATCCTGAGAATGAAACATTCACACAGTAACTCACCAACAGTTTCCAAAGAAAAAGAAGGCAAACCTGAACAGCCTGAAAGGAAGGATTTGTTCATTTTATTTGAAGCTGGATAAATTAAAAAATTGCAAATGAGGAACTCTTAGGTTCTGGCCAAGGAGATCAACCCCAAAGTCTGAGGTGCAGCCACCACAGCAGCTGTAGAAAACCTCAAAATCTATTATTTTACATTTTAAAACAGGTCAGATTTTGTCCTGTCCATATATATAGAGGACCTTAAACTTCCCTCAAGAGAACTGGGACTGATTCTCAGCAGGGTCTCAATAATATTCTGGATCACACAGAAACCCAAATGTCCCATTCTACTCAATTAATATTAATATGCTGCATAATCCATACAACTTGGGGAAAAAAAAATCCAGTTCAGATTCTTATCCAATATTCAAAAAAGCTCTCAAAACTATCTGGATCCCTTTCATCAAAGAACATTTTATAAGGTTTACATGCTTTCTTCAATTTTGCCATGGTTTTTCATGTTAATATTAAGGCCCTGATGATTTAAAATACAGCTTGGTCTCTCTGCTTGCTCAGAGAAATCCTGAATGGTGCAACTTTGCAGCATTCTGGCTTTTCAAAATTAAAATTTAGGGCTGCAGTTCAACCTTGCTCCACTCCCAATTCCTTCCCTTTGGTGCAGGAGCGTGTTCAGTTTTTCAGACTGTCACAGCCACAGGATTCCTGCAGACACTGAGCTGTTCACACCCAGATTTTACAGGAGTGCTCTGCAATGTTGGAAGCAGATGTCCTGGCCTGCTGCTTTCATCCTCCCACCTTGCATCGTTTCCAGGCAATAATAACCTGATATTCTGAACTGAAATATTGGATATTTCAGTAGCAAACCAGTCACAAAGCATTTAAAGACATTTCAGTGTCACTTAACAAGGAAATATTTAGTCAATCTACTACTATTACAGTAATGCTCAAATTGCCATCTGGAAGACCCAGATTCAAAAATCAGGCTCTGGATCCCAGGCTCAGCTCAGGGAGGCCGAGTTCATTGTAAAGAAGATGCAATTAAGTCTCCAGGGAAAGGCTTCTGCAGGCTGACATTGGCTGTGCAGCACGCAGCACACTCACTGGGCTGGATAAAAATAACATATTGAAATGGCAGCTGCTCAGCAAAGGAAGAGGATTTGAGCAGGGATAAAAATATACCTTAAAAGAAAGAGAGAAAATGGTAAAATGCCTATTCAAAGCATTAAAAGGTAATACTGAGTGTACTGAATCACTGTAAGATTCACCTTTTTAACCTCATGCAGAAAATATTATTTATTTCATACAGCAAGACAACCTAAGAATGTAATTATTACTGACCTAAACAAATCCAAGGCTAGCACAGCTTAATCACCTCAGTCACGAAGAACACACTATGGATGGACTTTTTTACATTTAGAAGAATTCCTACTTCTGATTGTATTACAGAATTCCCAGCCTGCTGCTCTGAACATATCATTTAAAGATGGAGCTGATGTCCCAGAGACAGCAGGTTCCAAACTGTGACTGATGGCTATTACCATGCCCATTCTCCCCGTGGTTTTGAAGGGGTATTTTACACAGTTCCTCTTTCTCTGGCAGTCCATGACAATATGAAAGGGGGTGCTGTTAGTGTTACACACTAAACTCATGCTGAGGCAGAATCAAACCTCTCACAAGATAGCAGTGAGACCTATTAGATCATCTGAATTATTTCCATGCCGTTCTGAGCTTGCTCTCCACAGTATGTTTTATTACTGTCTTGCCCAGGCTATTTTTAAAGTCTCAAACCCAGAAGCTTTTCCTTTCTGAGAGTATCCAACTTTAGTTCAAAGCACTGCATGCACTGATTAACCCATTTAAAATGCAAACTGAAAAACTTCTTATGGAGCTGCTGATTTAAATGCAGGTGTTTGAAACAGCAAACAAGATTTGAGCTGACAGCCATAATTTGTCCTATTTAAAGATTTCTATATCCGAGGTTTAAATAAAGATGGGGCAAGAAAAGAGAAAACATGAGACAGGATCTGTGTTAGCAGATGGAAAATAAACACAAAGGGCTCGTGATCACCAGCCCCACTCCAGGCCTGGTGTGGAATGTTTTGTCCCAGCAGTTTACAGTTTTTTTCCAGCTGTATCAGTTGGTTTAACTAAAGGTATTTCCTCTCCTTGCAGACCCCACCCTAGGCAGGGATGATCTCTGCAGTTAGCACGGCCCGGCGGATGCTGGGTTGAATAAAGATCCATTCCTTAAATACCCGACAGGAATTAAGTCACTGAGTGCTGTGCCAGAGCAGCACAGCCAAATTCAGGCACTGCACACTTCACTGGAAGCAAAGTTCATGTTCTTGCTGAGGAGATCCTTGAGAAATGAGGCTTCACAACAAAGTATTTCATGGAGAGTCACTTAAATGTCTCATCTGGGCTTGGAGGCTTTTTTCTGTACAGTTATGTAACTGTTAACTGGGAAACAGAATAATTCACAAGGAATCTAAGCAATAATTGCCAGCCCAGGACCTGACTGCTATCCCTGTGTCTCAATCAGTGTGAGACAAGGCACACAGAATTTGGAGAAGGCACGGATGACTTTGTAGAGGGGATTAACACTCAGGCTAAAGCAGGAATTAAAGCGTGTCAGAACTATTTGTATTCCTTGCTGACATACTTATTCCATCACTCTTAAAACATGCTAAGCACTCAAAAAGAAATATTTCAACTGCAAAGAACCTTTTCAAAGCAGTTAAACTAAACATCAAGCTACTTTCAGAAGTACCCTTGCTTAGCAGCTGACCATAAATACATATGAAGCTGAATTGTTAAATTCAGATTTAAAGGGAGATTTTATTTGTCCCATGGCCACATCACCTTGGGCCAGATTTCAGAGCTGTAACCTGGTTTTGGAGTGCCTGGCAGCTGGATAGAAGGTTTTGGGGCAAATCCCAGGTGCTCAGTCAAGGAAGAGCACCTCACTCTTGGTTCTGTATGCAATTCTGGGGACACAGGATGTTGCCAGACAGAACATAAACCAAATAAAAGCTGTTAATACTTGGCATTAATAAAAACCTGGTCCCCATTGCATAAGGAGGGAAGGTATTTTGGGGTTTTAATTCATTTGGCATCACTTTTATCCACATCAGGCTCTCCCTGTCATTTTAACAGAGAAGTATTTTGTGGTGTTTCTCCCCACACTGAATTTCTGCACAGCTCTGGGGATGGGAAACTCGAGTTGCATTTCCAGACCACAGAGAAGGCAACAAACACAAGTTCTTGCCAGTTTATCAAAGGTTGGTCTTCTGAGCAAGAATCACTATTAAAACAAGTCAGATTTGATTACCACCACAAGCCTTCATATCAAAAGGAATTTACTTGCAGAAACCACAAGTGCAGGTTTGTTTTTTTTTTTTTTTAGTGGTCTCATGACTGGTAACAAAAGTGAGTGGTTAGATAAGAAGTGTGTGTGAGAATTTGACTACTCCACTCATACATGTAACCACTGAACTGCAATGGATTACTCATCCTACAGGACATGAAACTACAGCTCTGAACTGTTGACCATAGGCAGTTTTTATTCAGACAAAATTATGTGCAGACAATACTATGAATACTTTGTAAGCTGAGGTATTTCCAAAGCACGACTACCTTTGCCAAAAAAGCAGAAGGAAGAAAAAGAGATAAATCCCAAATCACTTCAATCTCCCTTTTCCTTTCCCAATGGTTCCAAAAAGGTAAAAAATAAGACAAAATACTCTGTTTTTCTCAAAAGGACATGGATAAACCTTATTCTTTCCCAAGACAGAAAAAACTACGACTTCATCAAGAAAACCCTATTAGGCAAAAAGTTACTTCTTGCTGAGCTGCACGAATTGCTGAAGTTGATCAAAACCCCTGGCCAGTAACACAACAGCTCAGCCTGTGTTTGTGTTCTGCACTGCTCTGGACAAGCACAGACACCCTCAGTGCTCCTGTGCTGAAACAGCTTCATTCACACAGCCAAAAAAAAGCCATCAGGTGCACAAGGGAAATTCACTTTTCCTACCCAAAACTGCAGTCTCTTATTTTCAGTAAGCCCCTCTCCCCAGTTATTTGCTGCAGGAAATAGTCTCTGTCTAAATTTACCTTTCAGTGAATCATTTTCAGCCCTCATTATGTCAATTAGGGAGTTCTCCAGTGAGTGCATGTCAAAAGTCCTCGTGCGATCCTGCAAGCAAACACAAACAGAGCCGGTGTTAAACACGAGCACCTGAAACACAAAAACTTCCACTTTCTTCTACATAACCACAGCAGCATTAAGCAAAAAACATATACTAAAGGATAGAGGAATATTAAAAATTTCCTCTGATAGAGGAATATTAAAAATTACAATATTATTAAATATGAATCTGATCTATAATAATCTAATAATAACCAATTAAGTCTAACACCAATTATTTCTCCTTCCTATTAACCAAAGCCAGCATTTTACACATGCCCAGGTCAGACTTGCTCAACCAAACAATCAATTCCACATAGTAGAAATCTGATGTGATAGAAGCAAAACACAACATAAAATACCCTGGCACTGCTTTAATTTAATTGGCAAATTCAGAATAACTGAAATTTCTTGTAATTTCTGAAATCTTTACAGTAAGGTAAAAGTGTAGTAAAATGTTCCAAAAGGAGGCAAAAATCACTCTAATTCCCAATATTATTCACATATCCATGCTTTCTGTGTATTTATACATTTGACTTGGACAGAATTACACTAATCCACCCCGATTTTAATTTTTTTTTTCTGTCCAAGAAGCTCCCTACCATCAGCTTTAAAGATTTTATTTCATTCCTGTTGTAAGGAATCCCCTCTGAACTGAGCTCAAGGATTGGGAAGTCTCTGTTCAAACAAGAAAGAGAAATCTTGGACATTTTTGCTCTTGACTCGTTCTCCACAACTCTTGTTATTCCAGCACTGAGTGTGTTTTTTGTCCCTAGCACTGGCTGTGAAGCTGAAATTTCTCCAAAGCACACAGATCCAGCTTGGAATATTTTTAAAGGCAGTGGTGAGTTATAAAGTGCTTTATTTCAGTGCAGCAGTGATTGTGTGTTCCAAGGGCCATTCCTGATTTCACTGATCCCTCATTCTGGACTTTAAACACCTCAAACTATTGTAAGAGCAGGAACTCACCAGCTCCTGATCCATTTCCAAGTTGTAAATTACATTCTGATCACTAAAAACTACCATTTTTCAATCGAATTTCCTGGTATTTTTCCCCTCTTCAGAACAGTTTATTACTGAGACAGAACAGGCCACGTATTCCAACCCGGATGTGCTGTGTCTCAAATAGCATTAAAAAGGCCAGAGTTTGGAACCAGTTCCTTTATTAAGTCTAGCAAATATCAAATTTGCTATAAAAAGCACAGCACTGCCCTGTCTCCCCACAGGATTGATTTCCGTGGTCATTTCTATTACAAGATAATTGAGGCACCTTAGAGAAAATATCAGGAGCATTCAAATCCTTACATTTTGTGCTTTTCTTTCATAGGTTTCCTACAGTTTTCTGCCTGTCCTAGCAGATTTAATTTATTGGTTTGGTTTAAACATTGCTATTTCTTACCTATTTCAAACTCTAGTTACATTAAAATCCCTTAGCAGGAGTGAGTACAAGGTTTTGGATCCATTAGGATCCAACAGTTGAGTAACTCAGGAATGGATATTAAAAGGCAAGCTCTGCATTTCCAACAGTCCTCACAAAATGACAAAAATAGCCTAAAACACAGGTGGGAGCATTTACTGCAAACCTGATGTCCCTCAGCAGCTTCTCCTTCCTGAATTCTTGTGTTAACCTCAAGCCCACCCCATGAACAGCTACAAAACTCGAATTTCACAAAGTGCAGAACCTCAGTAATTCCAAATCTTTGTGGAATTGTGGCACTTCACATTTCAGTTGTGAGAGACACAAAGGAAGTGACCCAGGCCAAGTAATTCCCAGTTTATTGAGCTGAGCACCTGAGCCTGAAGCAACTCTTCTCTCTAAAATATCTGTGTTATGTTGGCCTGAGCTGGAGTAACAAAGGGCTTGCTGCAATGCTCATTTTTAATATTAAGAACAGAGAATTTAAACATTTGAAGGGAAAAAGTGGAATTGAACTGATTGGTTCACAAGGAAGTGCATTCTCCAATGGAAGCTTTTGGTGCTGAGGAATTTATTTTCCTTTTCAAGTGAACCACAAGCTGTCCCTTTTCCAGGGTGAGGTCCATAAGCTGCAAATCACACTGCAAACACTTTAAAACACAACCCTGCACTGAGATACAACAAATTAACTGGTGATATTTCCCTCCCAGAAATAGGAGGAATGGCTAAAACTTGGGATGGATAAGGAAACACAACCCTGCACCAAGATACAACAGATTAACTGATATTTTCCTCCCAGAAATAGGAGGAATGGCTAAAACTTGGGATGGATAAGGAAGATTCTGTACATCCACCCAGTGAAAAGATTCAGGCCTAAATAAAGACCAGCCAAGGTGCCAAGCTCAGCTGGGTCACAGGTCTGCACAGTGCTTATTATTCTATAAAAAATCCATTAATTTAGTTTATTATTTGCGCTGACAGGTTCAACATTAGTAGAGAAAGTCCCCATTGGTAGTTTTGATAATTTTTATACAAATTAAAGTCCTTTTTATAGTGAAACTCCTTTGAAAACAGCAACACAGATTTCATCAGTCTTATCTTGCAAGACATTTTACCAGAACCACATCTGAAATATATTCATTTATTATGCACCTAAAGAAAAAATAAAGGCTGGTGAAGGTTAGTGGGAGTGGCCAAACCCCTGAGGAAATGTGAAACTCTGCATTTCATCCCAAAAGCTCTAATCCAAAAATAGCTCTAATAATCCATCTAAATAATAGCTAATCCATCTAATAGCTCTAACAATTAATCCAAAAATAGCTCTAATAATCAAGATATTGCTCACAAACCAGTAGCTAAATGTGAGCTTTTTTCAGATAGATAATGCTTATAAAGCACATAAACCATACATAACTTAGGAAAAAAGAAGTTTTCTTTAAAATATTTCATGTAGAGAGAATTAATAACAATATGGTGATGGTTTTAATGAAGCAATTCACAAAGTTGCAGTGCTTTGGAGCTGGATTGCTACTGTACACTTATTTATTTATAAAGAAAATATACAGGGGTAATGACTACCCTGGACTAAAGCAGAGTATGCACAATTCAGTAACAAAATGTGGCAACCACAGCCTGATATTATTTACCTGAGTTCCAAAAGAACTTGGCTTTACACAAGTTTGTTTAGGGTGTCTAAAATGTGGCTTTATCAGAGGGTCAAAGGCTACACACTTTTACCCTTGGGAAACAGAACTGAAGCATACAGACATCAGGTAAACACGAGGCCACAATAAAAAATTTAAAAAAAGAAAACCCAAACAAACAAAACATAAAACAAATTGAACAAACTAAAGCCACAAAACAAGCAAAAAGAAAGAAATCAACCTGTAGTCTTAATACATGACTATGTTGAAAATTTCAGCCAACATTTTAAAAGATATTCATGAAACATAATTTGGAATAAGCAGAGCTGTTTGCACAATGTACAAGAGGTGACAGCCTGCAGATCTGGTGAAAAATGAGTTACTGAGCCTGGAAATGTCTACAATAACCAACAAACCATTGTGAACTCTACCCTGGCCATCTCTGCCTACAAAACAGTTCAATTCTAATCCCTATTCCAACTTTATTTTACATCCCTATTTATATGTCATCCCTAAAAAGGAAGTCACTTGGTGCATAACATGTATGATATACACTGGGTCATCCTCCCATGCAAAAGAAATTGCATGGGAATTTTTCCTGCACAGGAAGATCATGCTTTGAATTTAAAAATCCCATACATTCATTGTCCTGCACATCAGAAAAATGCACATTTAATTTAACTATTAAATGTTATATAATAGAAATTACTTTAGAGTCACTATATTTAGTCTGCACCCACAGCATTACCATCACCTGAATAATTCAGATGCCAGAACCTGAGAGCACTTCCCAGGATGGGCCTCCCAGTGGTAAATCCCAAATTGCACCAAAAAATCAAGGTATGAACACTTCCTGGTAGCTAAGGCTGGACCTGATCTCTTAAAATAAGGTTGAAGGTTGATCTGAAGTCCAAGGCATCAATAATAATGCAAATGATGTCATTGCATGAAGCAATTTATTGATCAGCATTTATGGAGTAGGTGTAGTTGTAAAAGTGGGGCTTGTTTTCGACATTTACATCTTTGTCCAGCCAGAACATTTGTGCAAATCAAAAACCTCACAGCTACATTTGTACCTTAATTACAGCAGGAGAAGCCTGAAACTTTCTGAACCCTGCTCCCATTTCCCACAACTCCAAAGCCACGTGTCTCAGGCACAGGAGAGCCAGTGTCACCACATTTACCATCACAAACACAAGTTCCACATTTCTCTTTCAATTGCAACACAAATTTGGAGAGGATTTTGCTTCTGGGGAAGCTTCTCCTCCTTCCCAGCACCCTGCAAATGCTGTATCCCAGCTCCCAGTCCAGTATTCAGCGAATTAAAGGCTTTGAATAAACAGGTTTTTCCTGAAAGGATGTTGCTGTATTCTGCCCAGATCATCTTTTATAGCTTCACCAGGGAACAATAAGAAAGAGCTGGAAAAATGAAGTGGCACAAAACACAAAGTTAGTCCAATTTGAACTTTTTAAGTGTTAGAAATGACAAACCTTTACTGGAAATGTTTGTTAATATGTGTGATTCTATTTTAGCTGCACATTAAGTTTATCATGCATCTTCCACAGTATCTTGCATTCTCACTCTTTGCTGGGCTGCAACTTCCAAAGCAAAATGCTTAACAAGAGTAGTCCTTTTAATCTTAGGAAAAAGACAAACATAATTCAAATAGCTTCTTAACAAAAGCTCTCTTTAAACAGAAACCCTGAGGTCAAAAACACACAGGAGGGCCAAAGCCCAAGTATGAACGTCAGTAGTAAGTTTATCAAACAAGAACAGTGTTAACTTCCACAGCACTTAACTTGTGCATGTCATACCACATTAGAGTGCTGCTAATCCCACAGATCAGTAGCTGTGGGGAACAGCACACAAAACACTAATTACTGCACAGCTGATGGAGTTACAGAAAAATGGGGGAACGGGTTTAAAAATCCAGCTTCAAGGATTTGCTCTGTTTTCAAATGATGCCTTGAAATTATTGGGAATAATTGCTGTTGCTAGAATAAAAAAAAATTAAATTTTGCAAAACAAATAAGCTCTTTTTGTGCAGCCAGCCATCGTGAGTTATGAAAAGGGTCCCCAAACCCAAATATTAAAACAAAGAGGAACGGTAAAGAAATGTATTTGCAAGACCCCTTCAAGAGGAAACTTTGGCAAACTCATTCAAGAGGCTATTTTTTTTTTTAATTCCAGCTCCCTGTGAATTTGTTTAATGCACTTATTAAATCAGGCCATTTCTATGGGCAAACAAATGCTGACGTAGAGGTCGGAATTCAAACACGTTTTGTAATCACGAATGTGTTTTCTCAAACATTCCATATCTGCCTGGGGGAAGAGCAAGTCTCCCTGGCACAGGCCCTGGCTGGATTTGGAAGGGGTTTATACCTGGAAACCAGCCACTGGGGAAGAAAGGAAAAAACATTTTGAACAAGTGGATACAATGAACCGCTCTCATGTACAAAATTCTTTGAAATGGGCAGTTATTTTCGAGCCTGATTCTGGGAAGAAACACAAATTCTTTTTAAGCATTTTTACAGAAAGCTGAGGGCTATTGCTTCACTTGCTTGTGCCTTCAGAGAGCCATTTAAAAAACATCATCACGCACTGAAGATGAGATCTGGAAAGCTGGAAATGCCTATCAAAGCAAGATTTATGCATTGCATAACAGGCAGGATGTTCCACTCATGAGGAAGTGCAAGTACACAGCCAAAGGAAAGCCAAAACAATCTTGAAGGCAGCGCTGCCGTGAAACGCAATTACTGAGCACCAAGTTTGTCAGTGCTGCTGGGAGAAAAGGACAAGGAATTATTCTGAAAAATCACTAACTTGGTAAGGTGCCACAGTCACAGTCAAAGCATTTTCATATATTAATTCTCATGGAAGGCTGTGAAAGCCAAAAGACTCAGTTTTTTGCTTTTTAATTTGAATTCAGGAACCATTTTTTCATTTGGAGACCATTTCCTTTTCAAACGAACACACAAAGAACAATGGCTTTTCTCTTTTCAAAAGATCTTTGAAGGGGGGAGCCTGCCCAGTGGCTAAAGCACAACATCAAAACTTAATTTCATTAACAGATCTGGTTAAATCTTCTCTGACCTTCCCTGCAAGAGGTTCCTACAGACACTGTCGCTTGGGAATTGCAGGAGACAGGATTCCAAATGGAAAACACTTAGAGCAGAGAGCACAGGGTTTGCATGCAGCTCTCAGTGCCAAGGCAAGGCATCATCAAATTGCAAGGTTATCAAACTGATCACCACAGTATTTTCCTTTCATGTGCACCATTTGGAGCACCCATTTCATCCCTTGGGCAGGGATGTTTGAAGGGAGCGGGAGTTCACGTCAGTGGCTTAAAGAGAAATTATGTGACACCATCCTCTCCAAAGAGGAAAAGAGCTCTTAGCCCTGGTCACCCCAAGATTTCCATCAAAGCACAGCCAGAATCCTGTGTGTCACCAGGCTCTGGAACAGACACAACCTCTGAGGAAAAGAAAAAAGAAAGCGATCCCCAAATATTTGCAATTGCTGGTTTACATTTTGCCTTCTAAAGAAACTCATTTTCACTAGATTGCAGCACCACTTGTTAATGATTTAAGCAGCAAAACATAAATATTAAATGAAAGGGATTGTTGTATCAAATTACTCCATTATGTTGCTGCAGCAAAGACAGCTTTCAATTATTTCCTAAACAGGAATCTAAGAAGATTCCAGTAACAAAATAGCCTTGTCCAGTACATGATTGCATCAGCAAGGATACTTCAGGGGCAGAGAGAAAGACAGAGAGAGATGCATGAACACAAATATGTAATAAGCAAATTTCTGCTTTGAGACAGGAATAGAATCAGTACAGTCAAGAAAAAAACTAAAAAGACATCAAAGGTCAAATTTTACATCATTTGTTTCCAGTGATTCAAAAATTCACTGTGCTTTCAACTCTCAGTTAAAGTGACCAAAAGAGCTAAAGATTTTCTACAAAAGAAAAAAAAAAGTTGTCCAAGATGGCTTCAAAATTAATCAGCATCTTTCTAGGGCTGCAGTGCTGAAGTCCTGCTCTGCTGCCCTGCCCTTTTCCTCACAGAAGTGATGGTAACAGGCTGGAGAGCACTTCCCTCCACACTTTCCTTTTCTTGGCATGAAGGAGTGTCAGACTTGGTCTTGACATGTACAGCTCCATCAGAGTGTTTATGTAAACAGACACCAACATAATACACCAAAATGATTTCTTTACCATGATCAAACTACGTGTGTCTGCTGTTCTGCGTCTGGAACACCATCCAGAAGTCAAGGTTGACTTTGCCAGTTTCCTGAAATTTCCTTGATGCCAATCCAAGCACATTGCTCTGCCTGTGTATATATTTGGGGCTTACACACAGCAGCAAGGACACACTTGATCTCATTCTGTCACTCTCAACATCAGCTACGTGTCAGGGTACAGAGTGAATCAAACCGTGAGCCAAGGCTCGCTGCAGTGAGGCTGAAAAAAGACCAGCTCCAGCTGGGTCCCTTTTTCTAATGGTTTCACTGGATAAATTGGGTATGCTGGACACAGCTTCATTATATTCATTATAAATCCTGACATTAAAATCAATTATTACTCTGCTTTCTAAATTTGGAAGGGCTCTACCTGACAGTGAACCAGTCAGTAGCACTGCAGTAGAAAAAAAAAAGGCTCTGAAGGAAAGTTATTGCCAGCAGCTGCTGTGCTGTCAGCAGGGCCTGCACACCACCAAAAACCTGCAGTCTGCAAAGAACCCAACTATCCCCACATCCAAAGTCACTGTTAAATGTATTTCTGTTTCTTTACATCATGAGACACATTGCACAGTTTGTATCTTTGAAATTGTATTTAAGTAGGTCACCCCAGTTCTTGCAGCATGGCAAGAAATACTGCAATCACGTTGAGAATTTTACTTTTGCCCTCATTTGAAGGGCGTGAAAAACAACCCTGGAAACGTAAAAGAACTCTTGGGTCTTTTAATTCACCCTAAAGGAGTTTACAAAAGGCGCACACACACATAAAAGCTGGGTTTAACTGGTGGTCAGATGAAAAGAAGGGGACTTCTGGTTTAATTCCTGCTGCAAATTAGGTTCAACATTATACAGTTCTTTTCAAATTCATAACAAGTCAGCCCAGAAGGAGAGGCTGAGCTGCCAGACAACCTGCCTCCTGCCAGGAGAAGGCCACAGCAAAATACAGGAGACCACCAACTGATCTCATCCACATCTATTTTTAGTGCTGATTTAATGGCCTGTAACCAAAATTTGCTGCCATTCCTGAGGAGAGCAAACTGCACTGATTACCATTATTTGTAAAGAGCAAAGTTTCCCCCAAAAATGCTACAAAAATTATGTTGCACTGCAAGCCCATGTGATACTGTAAAACCAAATAAAATCATGCCATACTTTTTCTCAGATGTGGTACACTGCTGAATGCTTTCAAAGGCTCAGATCTTTCATACTCCACCAGGCACTTTTTTTTCCCTTTTTCCTCTTTGTTGAAATACTTGTCAGTGAATTTCTCCATTGGTTATTTCTGTCTGTGTGTAAGTATTAAGCTGAAGTAAAGGGGCCAATACAGATGGCTGGTGTGCAATAGATATTTATGACCATCACTGTTAAAAAAAACCCCATGAATCACAACTTGGAGGATCATTCCCACTATGACATTTTGAGTTAGCCATATGGTTTTTTTCAGCTGCAAGCACAGAAATGCCACAACCAGGGCATTTTAATGCTCTTTGGGGAGGTTTGGTTTTTTGGTTTTTTTTTTTCTTATGGATACAACAGAGTGCGCTCACCTGAAAAGGAAAAATGTTGTCAGCTCTGTTCAAGCTGTCATCCATCCAGGATTTGGGAGCGAAGGCCGAGCTGGGTCGTGCATACTTCTGCAGCTGGATATGATTACTTGCAAAATTCTTCTTTAAGGGCGAGATGGAGTTCAAGGGGGTGATCCCTCCGTTCAGTCCCCGGCGGTGGTCTCGGCCCTGGGACCCTCCCCAGCCGCCGTATCCGCCGCCGCCGGGGCTCCAGGAGGACGGGGTGGGCGATGGGCTTTGGTAGCTGCTCCACGGAGAAGGTGGCTTGTTAAGATTATTGGCCAAATGAGGCAACTGATTAAAAGCAGCATTTCTGTGTGTGAATGGAGGTGGGTGAGGACTTGCAGGAGACCTCCTCTGTTGCTGATGCTGATTGTGATGATGCTGGAAATGGGGGTGATGAGGGTGGTGCTGAGAGAGGGGTCCGATCTGGGGGGAAAAGCTACCACCAAAGCCAGGGCTGACGTGATGTGGGAAATTCTGAAACAGCAGAGCACCATTATTAGCTGAGGCAGTAGGGACCCCTCCCTGGTGGAAAAAACTTGCATCTTCATTGATTATTGTAGAAGAAGAAGGAGCAATAGCTGCAGACCAGTTACTAAAACCAGTCAGAGAAGATGCGGTGGATGTCAAGGGCTGTGTCGAAGTACCGAGCCCCGAAGCCTCTTGGTAATCAAATCCTGTTAAAACCGGCGATTCTATTCTTATTTTCTCCTTTCCATTGCCATTCTCTGAAGAATTATCGCCCTGGTTTTCTTCAGTTTTAGCTTTCTCGGGTTCAGAGAGCATGCCTGCTTCCTGACTTTGACCAGGGGAAAGCTGCTGTTTTTCTAGGGACTCTTGCTTTTCCTGTTGCTGAGTTTTAGATTTTTCTGACCCCAGAATCTCATCCTGAATATTATGGGCAGCTGGAGCAGGAAAGAGCCAAGCTGACCCAGCACTACTGCCATTGGCAGCTGTGTTATTATTTATAAAAGCAGCAGGGCTGGGGGTTGCATTTTGATGATGGTGTGGAGGCTGCAGATGTGGATGAAATCTGACTGGAAAAGCTGACTTATTTCCAGTGTTGTTTTGCACTAACACTCCAAACCCGTAATCCCCCATTTATTATATTTAGGGTTTGAATCCTCCCTGTAAGAACAAGTTGATGTTTAGTGTTTAGCTTGTCCTCTTGTGAGGCAAGATTAGCAAGTATCCTGGTTTTCGCTAGATATTCCAGTGTCTCCCTCCACGCTATTTATTTCAGATTTGGATAAAGATGTTTGCTTTTTTTTTTTTCCTTTTTGCAAAAGATAGATCTCTTCAACTATTTCAATGTGTCAATTTGTGTCCGTTTCCTTCCTTTGGCCAGGAGGAAGGGAAAAATAAATCTTTGGTTCACAAAATAAGAGGTTTCCTTTTTTCTAAAGGAAATGCACAGCAATGAGAGAATAAGCTTCTGGGAAATAAGGATAAAGAGATTCTAACTATCCTGTTTTTTTCCTCCTCAGCAGCCTTGACTCGCCCATAAATGAGTTAAGAGGGAAGAAAAAAAAAATACAATGACGTCTGGTCCCTCAACCCCTTGGCAGCAAAAAATAGATTTAAATCTGGAATAATTTAATACATCTCTATAATCTAATATATATTTGTGTCCTGTTCAAAAAGAGTCTTTGCTGTGGACAAGGGAAAAATTTACCTCAGGATCTCAGCATTCAGAAGGGTGAAATGGGGGAGTGAGTTGCAGAAGAGGCTTTATCCCGTGCTGCTGGGTTTAACCTATTATATTTAGCAATAATATACACCGTGTGTGTGCGTGTGTGGTTGTTTAAAGGGGTAAGATCTTATCTCAGGAAATCAGTATTCTCTGTGTGTTGGGTGGGGAGTGAGTTGTGCAGGAGAAGGGTGGATTCTTGATGCTGCTCCTTCTGGGCTGGGTTTCTGAGCTCGCCAGACTCGCTTCTTATTTATGATCCAATATTTGCGTGTCCTTCATATGAGTCCTGACTGTCCGAGGAGGAACGTTTTCATCTCAGAAATCAGCGTTCACCGTTCGGGAAAGGGAAGGGAGGGGACAGCGAGTTGTGCAGGAGGAAGGGGAAGGAGGTTTTTTCTCGCTCTCTGCTGCCGGGAGGGTGTTTTGTGGTGCGGGGCTCGCCTCCTTCCCCGGGAATCGCGGCTCCCGCAGCCCAGCGAGCCCCCGGAACGCGCTCCCTCCTCAGGCACTCGGCATCCAGCGGGGCCGGGCTGAGGGTGCCCCGCGCGTCCCCCGCCCTCGCTCGAGCCGGGCAAGGCAGGAGGGGTTTTACCTCAGCAGCGCAGCAGCCTCCGGCAGGGAGGGGAAGGCGCGGCCGGCCGGGCTCCTCTCTCCCCCATGGAAGGTGTTTAAGCGGCTCTCCCGGGTCGCCCGGCGGGGTCGGGGCAGGCTCTGTCTCGGGGCGCAGCGCTCGGGGCTCCGGCGGCGGCTCGGGGCGCTCCCTGCCCTGCGGCGGCTCGGCTGGGCTGCGGCCGGGCCGTGCCCCTCATGTACCGGCCGCACCGGGGGGTTCTCCGCGGGCTCGATGCTGCGGGGAGCTGGAAGGACGAGGCGATCGACAGCTTTCGGTAGCCGGCGACGTGTCCCCGGCGCGCAGCCCCCCGCTGCCGCCGCCTCGTTTTGCGTCTTTTTCCGTGTGTTTTTTCTGCCGCCTTCCCCGCCCCCCACCCCCCCGGCGGCCGCCGCAGCCGGTGCCTCGCTGGTCCCCGCGCGGCCGCTGCCCAGCCCGTGCCGCCCGGACCGAGCGGCCGCACCAAATGACAACCAGCTGGCGGGGGCCGCGCGGCGCTTCCGGGGCGGTGGCGGCCGCGCCCCCGGCCCGCCCCCGGCACCGGCTCCGGCTCCGCCCGGCGCTGCGCCGCCATCTTTGGTGCGGGCAGGGACTCCCCGGCCGGGGCGGCCACCCCGGGGCTGGGCGCGCACCGCCCGCGGCGCCGCCGCCATCTTAGGTGTGGGCGGGAGGTCAGGCGGATGCCGGCGGCGCCGCCATCTTGGAGTGAGGAGCGCGGCGCCCGCCATGTTTGTGCAGGGCAGGGCGTCACCTGTCACTGTCGGAGCCCGGTGTCACAGACAGCGGCCGCGCTCGGCAGCGACGCTAAAGAGCTTCTCATTGCACCCCCTGCCATGGCAGGGACACCTTCCACTGTCCCAGGCTGCTCCGAGCCCCGTCCAACCCGGCCTTGGACACTTCCAGGCGTGAGGCAGCCGCAGCTTCTCTGGGCGGCCTGTGCCAGGGCCTCACCACCCTCACAGCAAAGAATTTCTTCCGTACGTGCAGCCTAAGTAGTCCAAGGGCAAGCATCAAAAAGTCTACTACAGATCTGGTTTATACGCTACTTCATTTTGGGGATGAGTGCTGTTTTTGCACACCGACAGATTACAGCATGCAAATGAAAATACAGTTTTAAATGTAATATCAAAATATCGTGACATTTAAATAATATGTAGGTTCACCATAGAAAAATCAAGTTTAAAAGGAAACATGCAGAGAAATTTACTCCAAAGTTTTCTCTTAGTAGAGGGCTGTTCTCTACTTGCTCCGAGATTTCTTCTCAGACACGACTGTAATTTGGATTATACTTTTACCAAACCAATTATTTCCCAACAATTTTATTAAATAAACTTTTTTCTTCGCGGTCACAGACACCTTGTTTCTATGTGTGAAAACAGCCTTGTTTACATACGGTGAAAACATCATTCTGAAAATGTAATGACTGCGTTATAATTTCCCCTTTCGTTTACTGTTTGCAGCTTCTGTGAGCTCATCTGATACTGGGCATTATTTTCCTCTGCACTTTTCTAGTCATAATGTTGTTAGCAGCATCTTAAGGTTCAGGGTTAGCAGGCACTTCTGTCCGGATGCCACGGACCTGGCTCCAGGAGCAGATTGCTGTTCCACGAATAGTTTGGGAAAGACTGAGTCTATGGCCTTAATTTAATTTCAGGCACACCCTTGCAGTGCATTGGGGTAGATGCAGATGGACTGGAGTGATACGAGCAGAATTTCTGAAATCTGACTTTAATCATTTTGCCTGACAAACATTGTTTGCTGAAACCATGGGAGGTTCCTCAAGGGCCGGTGCTGGGATGGTTCAGCTGCCCAGCAGGATTTGTGGCTGTTTATTCAACCTCTTTGACAAAAAAATGCCTGACCAATGTCCAGGGATTGCAGGCATTAGATACCAAGATGAATCAATTACTGAAGAAAGTCAGGGTTGTCTATAAGTACGTGGATTTAACCACCAGTGAGGAAATTCTCACTTTGGGGGCTGGATGATGTAGAGAGAGTCTCAAAGAATACAGAGGGTGACATTGTCACAGAATCACAGATGGTTTGTGTCAGAAGAGACCTTGAAGATCATCCAGTTCCAACCCCTGCCATGGCAGGGACAACTTCCAGTAGACCAGGTTGCTCCAGGTTTTTAAATCACTCAAGCTCAAATCCCTGTAGAGTCAAATTAACTCCTTTATCACACTGATTTTGCCGTAACTTATGCCATGACCTAACTTTTGGATGAAATTTGAAACATAAGATTCAAATAATTAGAAAACCTTCACCACAACAGTAAATATTCAAGACTTTTGAAATGGGAAGGAAAGGGGAGAGTTCTCTCAGTAGCATTTGCTTGCACACACTGGTGAGACTCATGCCCAGATTTGCTGCCACATCCTCCAAATCGGTCCCTGCAGCTCAGTCCTGATGTATCAAACTTTTCACCTGAAAGAGGTTTCAGTCTGAATGACACTTGAAGTACTTTAAATCATCACAGTACCTTCTGCTAATCACCATCAGCATCTAATGGATTCATTTCTGGAAGCACTTTAACTCTTCTGGGTTCCTTGGAGGAGAGGATTCCTCTGGCCACTCCAGCTGCCATCATTAGGCAGCTTTAGCTGACGACTGCCAGTGGCTCTGTGCTCTACCCAGGCTCCCCCCAGCATCAATCTCCAGGATCACAAACCCCTTAACAACCTCTTCACTGCGAGACTAAACCCCAAGTGGGAACATATTGCTCTCCTCTGAGGATTAGATTTCTTAGCCTGTTTTTATTCTGCTACTCTCGCTGTGAATGTCACATAATAAATGCTTGACTGTGACTCAGGTCACAGGAAAAACTGAGCGTGGCTGAACTGATGTAGAGAAATCTGTGTGCTTGCTTTTGCTCAGTCAGAAACAATCACAGAATCACAGAATTCACAGAATGCCCAGGTTGGAAGAGTCCTTCAAGATCATCGAGTCCAACCCAGCCCCAACAGCTCAACTCAACCCTGGCACCCAGTGCCACATCCAGGCTTTGTTAAACACACCCAGGGATGGTGACTGCACCACCTCCCCGGGCAGCCATTCCAGAACTTTATCACCTCTCTGTGAAAAACTTCTTCCTAATATCCAACCTGTATTTCCTTAGTGCAGCTTGAGGCTGTGTGCTCTGGTTGTGTCAGTGCTGCCTGGAGAAAGAGACAACCCCAGCTGAGCACAGGCACCTTTCAGGAGCTGTAGGGAGTGATGAGGGCACCCTGAGGTCTGTGGTTTGCTCAGCCTTTCAGTGCCCCACACCAGTGCAACACAGCACAGGGGAACATCCCTTTTGTCAGGTGTGCTCAAAAGGCCGTGTGCCTCACAAGAAGTGGAATTTCTGATGGTAATTTAGTAGGACAAGCTCACAGATAAACTGAACCTGAAAGCAAGTGGGATCCCCAGGAAGCAGCTCTCCAGCTCAGTCACACGGCTCATCCTGGCAGAGCAGATGTGCCGTTTGTGATACGCTCCCAGTGTTATCAAATCAAGGTCCCATTGAGCGAAGAAGTGAAAGGACTTGCAGAGCTGAGAAGGAACTCCTTGTGAAAATGCCTTGCCAGCAACCCTCTCTTTTTTAAATCAAAGCACTGCCAGCTCTCAGGCATCTGCTGGTTGCAGCTGTCACGGTGTCATCCGGAGGGAAAGGTGAGCCCTCGGTGACTCAACACCCGAACATCAAACACTGACACTGCTCACACTGCAGAAAATCAGATTGCTGCATCTATTTCACACTGTTGGTGGGGAAACACAGAATTCAAGTCTCATTTAAGTCATCTTCTGCCTTAGAAGAAAAGGAGCAGAAAGAGGATAAGAATCTCTTTTCTAAAGGCAGAATTATCAGCTGCTTCTTATGTCTCAAAAACTGCAACTGATGTTTTCTTGACTGTCAAAAGGCTATTAGGATGTTCAGATCTCCAGTTTTATACTAAACATCCTTGCTGTATCTTGTCCAGCCAACAGCATATTAACACAGTTTAGTAAATAAAATTTAAAGTCAAAATTAACCCTATACTTACAGCACAGGATTTTAGGAAGGGTGCAGTGGGATAAATTAAAATTCAAAGGGATTGTTTGTGGTGTTGTTAGTCACTCAGATGTTCCTCCACGTTCCTCTAGGTCTGGTGTATCACAGAAGATACACATTCAATGGTAATAGAAGCAGCCAACAGACCTGAAAAGCTGCATCAACATTTTATCCTAAACAATTGCTCCAGGAAGGCTGAACTAAAAACCCCAGGCAAGCTGTCAGTAGCTAATATTAGCCTACACATACAGAATTTTTTTAATTCCAGAGCAATTTCCAAAGATTGCAGAAAATGTTCTCTAGACTGCAGAGAAAACCCAACTGTTCATTTTTGTGCTGATGCAGCTGCAACTGCTGTTTGCTAGATCCTATCTCAGCTTGGTCATTGCAATATCAAAGTATGATTTTATAAACCTTTTAACTCTTGTGTAAAGCACATTATACATGCTAATGGCTTCATTTGACTAAGCTGCCTTCGTCATTTTGCTGCAGCTGGGTGAAGGTACTATATATTGCTATACCCTCATATGTTAAGCAACCCTTTAATGGAATACATTGCCTTGGAGTCTTTAGTTTTTATGAAAAAAATCCTTATCACTGCCCAGAGAACTATTTTGCGTGCAGTAATTATGTAATATTAATGAACAGTATTACATACAACTATTTTCTAGCCCTATTCTTTGTGTGGCATGTACTTCAGAATGACCTGACACTGCAAAAATGCCTCTAGCTTCCATGGCTCATGTAAAATACAATAAATACATAAATAATTGAGAAGAGGAAATAGGTAGTGTTGCAAAGGCTGTGGTGTTCTTACCACTGCACTTCAAAATCCATCGATGTGACCTTTGCAAATGTGCTTTTCTTCTCTCATTTAAGAATTCTTCCTTGAGCTGGGCAAAAAAAAAAAAACCAACAACTCCACACAGGCACAGAGTTTCAAATTTGAAAACTCACTTTGTAATCTTATTTCTAAAATTGTAGAAGGAAAGAAGCAGCCAGGGGATGAGCCAGGACAGCGTGTCCAGGGACACCACCAGGGCACCTGGAAAGCAGTGGCCATCCAGTGAATTCCATGGGAAAGAAGCTGTTTATCCCATGGAGACTAAGCTTCTCAATCTCTTGGGGTTTGGAAGTTTTTTCCCTCTACTTCTCAAATAAATAACTGCTTATTTAATTCCTCTTAATAAAGGAGGAATGCGGGGCTGTGTCAGGGGCCAATTAGTCAGGGCTTGCAAAGTACGCTGGTGCCAAGTATAATTTTTACTGCAACTCGGTGACACCTCCATTTCTCAAAGTAAGATTTCATAGCCTGTTCATTTACAAAGTGGGCTAGTGCCTTTGGGTATTTGGGAAGGGCAAAAAGACAAATTGAAAAGCATCAAATCATTTAATTTCAAAGTGCATTAAGCGCACGCCTTCCAATTTTCTGACTAAAATGTTCGTTGGCTTTT